GCCCGCTCCCGTAGTACATCATCATCATCATGTTGTGCCTGCCCCCCTGCCCGTACCCGTTCTCGCCCCCCCAGTGCTGGAACCTGCACCATTCATTGCTCCCACATACCGCGCCATTCCGGGCCCTAAGACCACCACCCACCATGTATCGGTCGGTTATGCCTTCCCTACAGCTCATGTGGCCAAAATTGTAGGCCACCATCATCATCATCACTCACTCTTCTAACTTCCTTTGGTACAAAGAATAAAGGATTAGTTAGAGGCAAAAGGATGCTACTTTCGCGCGAAGTCAAAAGCAAATGTTACCAAAGTTATTTGCGTGTATCCCCTTAGAGAGTTTAGGTTTTATTTACTTTGGCTCGATTGTTAATTTATTTGTGTAAGTTTAAAATACATACATATATATATACTATATAGTATAGAATTTTTTATATTTATATTTTGCGTTAAGGATTACATTTGTAGTTGTTACCCATTGTATATTGTCGAATTTTTAGGATTGTAAATAAAATGATTGGTATTCCTGTGTGTACAAAGACAATTTAGAAGTAATTATTTGATTTTTTTTTAGTGCTGGCACAGGGCCGGCAAAAGAAAATTCGGCACCGGTAGTAAAAATGTGTGGGCCCCCATTTCCAGAACAAATTTTTTAACGAATTTCCCACGAACTCACCACCTACTCGTTTAGTGCTTTTGGAAAATAAGTAGCCTTACCTTAATTTTCGTAGTACGTAAATATGTGGAGTATTTTATTTAAGAGAGTATTGTTTTTGCAGGTCAAACTTTTCAACTTATCAAAATATTTTTATTTTTCAACTTAATTTTCGGAAAAATGCGAAAACTACGCGCGGGGGAAAATTGGAGAATTTTTACCAGAATCATTTACTTAGGAAACAATCAATTATAAAACTTAGATGGGTTTAAAGCATGATGGGACCAAATGGATATTAATATGGTACAAACTTTTTACTCATCAATGATTGAGGAAACTTTAAGGTGCGTTTAAAAGTGAAGGAAAAATTAAAGATAAAGACGAAACTGAAAACAATGAGAAATACATAAAATTTAAAGTTACTGAAAGGCTAAGGAAGTTCACTGGAATTATTCGATAGGAATCGATATAAATTCTGTCATAAAAAAATTCCATGTTTATCGAAACGTATCAAATTATTCAAATTGATCAGTGTTAATTGAGGTGTCGAAATTTATAGACACAGAAAATTAGTTTCCGAAGTTAACGTGTAGTTATCGAGCTATAAAAATATATGGGATTATCAAAATTTGTCAAGTGAATGCAATTTATTATGTTATGGAAATTTATCGTAATGCACCGAGTTCTTTGAACTTATCGGGTTATCGATATTTATTAATTTACTGAAACTTGTGAATTTGTCGAATTGATGTTTTTGGAATTTTCCAAATAAGCTATCAAATTGACCGAGTTATCGAAATTTATAGTGGTATTCAAAGTTTATCGAGTTTTCGATTTATATCGATATCTATACATTTTTCAGTTGTCGAAATTTATCGATCCCGCTAAACGTACAGTTATCGACATTTTTTGAAATTAGTCGAGCTATCGAATTTTGTTAATTATCGGATTTGAAATTCATCTAATTATCTATATGTATCAAATTATCGAAATTTATTGACAAACCGGAATGTATCCTGCCAAAAGCTTTCAAAGATGTTAAACATTTTAGTAACGTTTTTTAATTCCAAAGCACAGGTTTCCGGTTAGTAATTTTGTACTTTATAAGTTGAACGACGTTCTTAGTTAGAAAACCTGTCTAAGGGTCCAAAAAAAACTAGAAAAACAGTCGAATTTCCACAGTAACTTGAGCTCCTACTCCCTTTTATAAATTTCCACCGTCCAAAATAAACAAAATAATTTCTTTCTGGCGGTGATTATAAAAGAAATTTCCGAGCAATTTTTAAATGGAAGAAAATGCACAACACATGCACAAACATTCTGAATAAAAATTTTGAGATTTTTGGGTGTAAAATTTGCAGGTTTGAAAGTTTGAAATGTGGATTTATATAACGAAATAATAAACATTAAATATACAAATGAAACAAAGCCAAAACTGGTGAATATGTCATTTAAATAAATCAGCTGATCACAAGTGTATGTCGAATAGCTTGAACACGCCTTTTTTTATCAGTCCACCGCAGTGAGTTCAAACGAGTAATAGGAGTATCAAGAGACTACATACTGGATTAATTTTGTTCGGATACTAATAAGTGGATTTGTACACATACATTTATGTATGTCACTACACATGTATCTGCTTATACATAAAGACTTGTCACTAGATTTAAAATATACTCTAAATGCAAAAAATGGAACTTAAATACTTACACCTGCCATAATTTGTGAGCGGTCAGCTTATGGATTCAATATGAACGTAGCACTTACTTGAGTTTTGATTTTCAGTAAGGCTTGCAAAGAGAGACAGAGCAAGTCACTTGGGTAACGCATAATCTCCAGAGTACATGTTAATGTGACTAGCAGACCTGCGAGCTTAATCCTCACTATTTAAACATATACATACGTATGTTCATTTGTGTGGCTTTGGGCATAAAAATCATAACTCAAAAATTTGATTCTTTTCAGTTTTATAGACTAAACTATTGTATTTTAATAAACAAGCTTTTCGATTTTGCTACGATCTAACACTGATTCACAAAGTATAAAGAAAATATTCGCAAAAAGTTACAATTATTAATGTAGTAATGTAAGTCGGGCTTTTTTAACAAGTGCAGTTTCGGACGGTTACCGGAGTATGTGAAAATGCTCTAAAGTAGATTTATAACTTTTAAAACTTACACCACAGAAATTTGTAAAAAAA